AGCCCACTTTGAAAAAAAATGAACCTTATTACTAAAGTTTTTTTTTTTTTGGGGGGGGATTCAGAATTCCGCTCTCAATGCAACTAATATAGACAAAAAAGATTTCACCTGAAATTTACAGATTTTTTTTTTGTTGAATTACTCAAAATGTGAGAACTTTTTTAATTCATTGCAACAATGGATTAATATGGTAATAAGAAATTTCAGACAGTAAGTAAGACATATCCATTTGTGACAACTTAATACAGATAAAATAGAAAGTCTTTCTTTGGTGCAACTATCTTCCGCCAGTATACTTTAACCTTTAAAAAAAAAAAAAAAACTTATGCCAGTGCACAACCACCCACCCTATCACATGGCCCTCTCCTTCTCTATTACCAGATTAAACCAATACAGCTAAGCTGTATTCACATGCCAAACCCTAAAAAAATGCAATAGTTAAAGCCAAACCCCTAAGGTTGGACAAAAAATTCTTCATAAAATAAGGGAAAAATCCCATTTTACCCCCTAAGAGGTACAAACATTCTCATATCTCCCCTCAATGATTAATTTTCTCACATTACCCCCTCAACGAATAAAAAACGTTGTAATGTGATTCATCATCATATTTTTGTTTGGTATTCCGTCTGTTTTGTAATTCTTAATCTATTAATTTGGCAAAAAATAGACAACCGACTAAATAGAAATAAGACGATGGATTACATTGCAACGTTTTTTATTCTTTAAAAGGACAATGTAAAAAAATTAATTATTTAGAGGACAAACTGATAGTTTTTGTATCATTTAGGGGGCAAAATGGAATTTATCCCTAGAATAATATCAAACAAAAAGAAGATGAAGTAAACAATACCATATTTTCGATAAGAAAAATGAATGAAAGTGACACCTTAACCTTCATGCCCACTTGAATTTTCAACTCAAAAACACTTTCTCCCCCACATAATATCACTGTAATCAGAATCATACACCTTGTTTCAAGCTTGTAATTTTGCTATTTCTTTCATCTCTGTTTCCATTTTATTCATGAATATACAATTCATTTCTCGGTGCACGAAGTTCTTGTCATTATGTATTGGTTGACGTTGACGTACGCAGTGAAACAAAATAGATAAAAGAGTAAACGGCAAGAAAATAGAGAATCAATACTTAATTAAGGGCGTTAACTGGATCACACACTAACACTGCAAGTCTGTGCCAGCTGATACTTAACGCCGTTACCGACAACGATGCCGCCGTTACCATTTCCGAAAGGTATGTACGCCGGACACTTGACATGCAAACCGTAATCCCCAGTTGTTAAGGTCCCAACTTTCCATCTGACCCGTCCATCAATCTTGATCAACAGCCAGATTGCCCCATTAGCTTGGTCTTGGCTCAACGCCGGACCGTTGAACGGAGCTATCGGCACCATGGTGCCGTAAATAAATGGCGACCACACGTTAGACTGCCCGACGTCTTGATAAGTAGGAGGTATGGAAGTGTAATATGTGATCTGTTGGCTTTGATATATGGCATAGACGTCGAGTTTGTCGTAGAAAATTGAGATTTTATCATTGGGGTTTCGAGAAATGATGGTGACTTGAATGCTGGAGGAGACGAAGCTGGGTGATGAGACGTTGAAGGCGAAGATGGTGGCGTCTTGGAGTAGAAAGCTGGGTTTATTTGGTTGTAGAATGGCCCAGATGATGAGAATGGTGACTAAGACGATGAAGCTGAAAATTAGAAGTCCGGCGAAACAACGCCGGATAAGCTTCCGCCGCTTGTCCTTGTGGTGGCTGCACTCTTTCGCCATGTTTTTGCTGGTGGAGGTGGTAGTGGTTGCCGGAGGGTAGGTGTTGGACTCTGAGGATGGAGTGGTTACTGTTAGAGACAGGAGAGGGAGCAGTTGTTTATATATGCATGGAAATGAGAGGGACCTTTCACCTTTAGCCATGGGTTGTGGTTCAATGGCAAAAGTGTAAAGTGTAACGAGTGAAAGTTGTAAAGAAAAGTTATCAAAGGGGTTTAAATTTTTGGGTGATCAAAATAATTAATTCTAAATTAATATGCGATGTGAATCATAAGATTAGTAGATCGTATAATTTTCACTAATCATCGATATATTAGATCATTTGGATCCAAAATTTTGTATAGATACACCATTTCTCTAATTTATCACAATCTTTTAGTTGCTAGTATGCCTATACAAGAATTAATGTCTAATGCTAATTCAAAAAAAAAAATTAATTAGTAATATTGTGCTTTGAGTAATGTGATAACCATTCTTCCTTGAGTGAAATTATACTTCCTAGCTAATTCTACTAGCCAATGGTGGGGAAACTTTATGGTACCGAAATTTCTTCTTTTTTTTTTTTGACATTGGTACTGCTGGTTACTATTTTGTAAAATAAAGTTATAATTTTCAAAGAAGAAGTTACAACTGCTTAAGAGAGATCAAGATCAATCACAGACACCCCTGATCGATCATGAAAAATGTAATATCAATCTCAAAATTCATGATCGATCATACTCTTTAAAATTATAACTTAATCTTAATAAGTTGTAACTTTACCACTGACAATACTATAGAAGTTCTCACCAATGGTGAGGTTGAGACTTGAGATCATCATATATATATATATATATAGTTCAATCGATTTGACGTATCAACAACCGTTTTAGGATTACATTTTTTGGTCATTGATTTTTTCAATAAGTAAGGGACTATTATGATTACGTCGTGGTGATAAAATAGTGTATAACTAGTTATTATCTGTGCCAGAAGCCACAAAATAATAATAAATATATTTATATTCATATTCAAAATCAAATCACAAATATAGAGAAAAGATAAAAGAATTTAAGCATTGATTTGTAGTGAGGGTGAGAGGTGGTGGGTGACAGTGGTGGTAAGAGGAGATGGTGATGGTTGTGGTGGGTGGCAATGACCGTGGCGACGGTGGTGGTGGTGGTGGCGAGGGCGGCGACGATGATGATGGTTGTGGCGACGATAGAAGTGGTGGTGGCGGTAGCGACGGTGGCGGTGGAGGCGGTGGTGGGTGGGCGTGGTGGTGGTGGAGGCGATGGTGGTGGCGGTGGGGTGGTCGTGGTGATGGCGGTGGTGGTGTTGGTGGGGGTAGCGACGACTGTGGTGGTGCTGGCAACGACGACGGTGGTAGGGGTGGGGATGGCGGCGATGGGGGGTGGTGGTGGAGGTGGTGGCGGCGACGGCGGCGGAAGGGGTGGTGGGGACAGCAGCAATGGCGATGGTGGTGGTGGCGGTGGTGATGGTAGAAGTAGTGGTGGGGCGGTTTCAAACACTATGTTTTTTTTAAAGTATTTATGAGAAATAATTTTTAAAAATACTTTTAAAAAGTCACTTCAAACACACTCTTAGAGTCCCATTTTTTCTATTAAATATAGGGTGTTAATATTAGTCATTAGATTAACTTTAAAATAAAATTTAAAACGATCTCAACCGCGAATAACAAAAGTCATTTTCTTTATCTTTTGAGATTTGAATTATAAACTACTTTATTACATTAGATTTTATATTTTATTAAGCAATGCTACTTAAATTTATATGCTGACTTAGGTTAAGAATCGATAGTACTACACTTAGGCAGGCAACCTATGTAATATCTAACCATCTCCATAGAGACTATCTCAGAGGTTTTTTCTAGTGATAAAATGTTAACCTATTTTCAACTACCTCATCAATTTGTTTTTTTATTTATTTTTTTTTTTTTGCCCTTTTTGGGGAAGCAAAACCTCATCAAGTTGCTTTAATGATATTCCTACTTTATTGCCTAGATTATATAAAATTCTGTAATTACGCGGTCAACGGTTAGGTTTTCCACGCTAACACTGATTAGTACATACAATAAGTATTTTCCAAACAGGTACATGAACAACTGCGACAGATGTAAATGTTTATGTATATCTATAAGGATTAATTACACTTGTTGCCCCCAACAAATGAAATTTGTCTCATTTTAATCTCTAATATTTTAATTATATTATTTTTATCTATAAATTATTGAATAGTTCTTTAAGCAGACAACATTTAAATCACTAATAGTTTTAGGACCGCTAGTGTAATTAATCTTATATATAATCATATGATACTGACACCAATGCTTAACCAAGGTTTACAATTAATGAGGTACATATTGGTGTGACGTACGTCTGATGTGGGTTAAGGTTTTCCAGAGGTATATACAGCTCACATTCAACCAGTGGCGGGGCGACATGCTCACGCTCAAACAATTTTTCTTAACTAAAGTCACGTGAATTTAAAAAATAAATTTGATAATTATAATCATTAAATAAATAATGTATCCCAATAAATACTGAGACCCCACAATGAAATCAATAATTATAATTATCAAATTTAATTTTTAAATTCATGTAACATTGCTCTTTTTTTCTTAGCATTACCTATGTATGTTTTAAGAGAAAGTGTGAATAAAAAATTAATTATGTGTTAAAATGTATACTATTTATCTATTAATTTCATATATAGACATAATAATAAAATATACATCTATATTTTTTTCATCTTTCCATTTTTTCATCCTACCAAATACAAAAAAAAATCAAGCATTTTTACTTTTTTATCATTCCTACCAAACACAGAAAAAATAAAAAATAATTCCTCCATTGAATGATATAAAATATATTATTCTCACTTTCTCTCTCATTTTTTCATCCACCTTATCAAACATTTCAAACGTTCTGAGTTCAAATTTTAACAACTTTATAGAATTAGGCCATAAAGAATTTATCCCTCATGAATACTCTAGTCTCAGCATAGATGGTCAACCTTTGATTGGACAGGAGAGGACATTAATCAAGATACACGTAAACTAACCCGAACACTCCAGAGTATTGAGCCCAAAAATAATAATAATAATAATCCTACCAAACACACCATAATGATCAAAAAAAGGGCATGTACCTCCTACCAAATGCTGATCTCTCACAGAGAGAGGACAAGAAGAAGATCAAAACGATTGTATTCAAACAATCAAGTAACAGTCATGCTGATTATCTCCTGGCCATGCTCCATTTCCACCTCCGGTGGCCGCCGGAAAACGAACCTCTAAATCCTTACATATGACTTTTAAGACTACATTTTTTGTCCAAATTGATCCAGATTTGAATGTGACCATCAAATTTAACCTCATATCATAAAACACAGACCCCTTACTTCGTTGATCAGCCATCTCATTCACCCACAGAGAGTCTGGGGAGTATATATAGCTACTGGGTGATACAAACTTGGCCTCTAAACTTGTTTCTTCATTTTTCCCCAGCTGAAATGGCTTAACCATGAAAATGCCTAGAGGATTATCATTGTAAGATAGGGTACTCCTAACTTGAGAAAAATAAACCTCTAATTTGCTGCTCGGGTTCCTAACGGTCACATTGGTGTTCCAATTTGCATATAATGTCGAGTTTGTGACGTTGAAAGAAGGCACAGACAATGACTCAACATGAAAGTCAGGGATATCCAATCCAAACATGATCCAAGAGACGAAGCTCATCATTAACATGCCAACGATTAACACAATCATCATGAACATCATGAAGCGAGCAAAAGTGTAGCCACTGGTTTTTTCGGGGTTTGTAGGCAGATAGTGTTGTGAGGTCGTGTAATAGACGGGAGGGGGAGTTGCAGTGTATTGAAAGTTGTTGTTGGGGAGGTTGGGATAGCCAGGTTGTGGTGGGGGGTACCCTTGATATGGCAGGGCGTACCCTGGGTGTGCCACTGCTTGTGGATGCCCTCTCATTGGGGGGTACCCCATTACCTCTTTCCTTTGATTTCCATCCGTGGAAGCCATGGTCATCCCTCAAGGAAAGGGCATCCAACATGAAGAAGAGGGAGTCACAGAGAATGTTGATAAGATGAGATGTACAATGAAGACGAGGGAGGGAGGAGAGAGAAAAGGGATGTAAATAGGACGTCATATTCTTAGAGATATGCTGTGAGATAAGCAATGCAGCCAATGTTAATGGTTGTCATGCGTTTATTTCTATGGCACAGAAATACAAAAACAGTAAATTATCAGAAAGAGGTGCGGTTGGGTCCTGGATTTACTGCAATATTTCTAGCCAACAATGTTTGTGAGGACAAAAAATCTTAGAATAGAGAGGAATTATAGATGGCCAAGTGTCTTAACTCTGGTAGGATTTAGTATTAGGTACATGCATGTATACCACTGGTTAAAAGTAGTAATGACAAATTGAGATTTGTACAAACTAGTGGGATGCAAATGTACTATTGACCAATTATTTTGATGAAATCAGTTTCACTGAATAAAATTGGAATAGATAAGGTTTGAATTAAGCAACACTTGATTGCACGAGAAATCTATCACTTTGGTTCATTGCAGGTCTTTTCTTCAAAAACCTCAGCCAACATCTGCTCAAGTTCCTCCAGGCTAAACCTGAAGTATTTTGGGGGATTAATGCGGCATTGAAGATGAAAAATTGCATATAACTCCAACCCACAAGTCACACCACCATTTGTGTCCAAGTATGACTATTTCAAAAACTTAGTGAGTAGAAATGGCCTCGTTATGTGTATAAATTATAAAGCACCTAACATCTAAAACTATTGTATCACCACAAACAAACTCAACAGGATTACCACACAATGAGACTTGGATTCAAGACATTGATATCATGTTAGGCTATCAATTACTCAAACAACTTAATATATGATGAAATGAATCCACAATTTATATCAAAGTCCAACCAATAAAGCAAGGGATAGAACTTTTACAACACACTAGCATAATCGTAGCAATGTAAACAAGCTGAGTATTCATCACAATGAGTGATAAAAAATAGTCAACTTTATTATACGAAACTACCTCTAATTTAAATTAGCAGGTAGTGTAGACCAAGAAAGTACCAGAGCCGGTATAACTGGATGCCAATGCCTTTCCAACCGAAGTTGGCTGAGAAAACGCCAACTGTGATCGTTCAAGGATCAAACCCATGCAAAAACTTTTCCTGCATTCAGTAGCAAATATGACATAGATACACTCCAAACTGCAATATATATTGAAAAGCAATGAGTTCAGTTTCTTCATTAGTATTCTAAGGCTGCAACTAAGGTTAGGAACTATAGTCAGCAAGAAGAAATAAAACTGTTTGTTATTTGTCATCACTTAAAAAAGGTAGCCATGGCCACTAGAATAATAGATTCCAGAAGCACGGGTTCCTTGCTGCAGAGACTGAGAGAGAGAAGAGAGAGAGAGAGAGAGACACACACACACACACACACAAGCACACAGATTTTGAATCAGTCATATCATGGCTGCCCTATGTTCATAGTAAGAAATTTAGGAGATGAGAGGAGTTTTTCAAATACGAACACAGGTGAGCTGGAAGCAATAGTCCTGAGTAAAATTAAGCAGCACTGTCATCATAAATGGTAATGCTAGCATGTGAGTTGTCTCTCACACCTACTCATCAGATAAACAGATTGTGCTTTCTGATAATTGGAGTTGCTGATTTGTATTCACTCAAAGGAACGAACGACTCAACTGTCATTGAAGAAAGTTCTGTGTGAAATCCAAATATTGTAACTCCGCTTATCACAAAAAATTCCGGAGCTCACCAACTCTGAGCATTGAAACTGAAGGGTGACTGGAATTGTAACCTGATTGTTACACATTGTATCGTGCAACAATCTATGGCCAGAAGACACAGAGACCTAGGAAACATTTCAACATGTGAGGCAAGTATGGCTTTCAAAGAATTCTTGCTTCTGATATGGTGCACATTGTTGATAAAGATCTATCAGCTTGAATTAAGAAAAACTGATTGATCAGTTGAAATCATCTCATAATCGAAGTGAAAGCAAGCAATCTATGTTTTCTCCAAAGTCCGGATATTGATCATTTTTTCTTTGAAAATTGTTTTGAATGAAGTTGCCTCTTGATAAACTTCTGAAGCAAACAAAATTTTTCTCGTTGGCCTTGGAAAATATTCTCACATAGCAATCGATTTGTGCCTCATTTGGTAATCATCCTCCTGAATCAATACACTCAACTTTGTTAATGGTTTCTTTTCCATCGTGCAGTGGGAAGTTTGAAAGCCAGGAATATCCATCTTCTAATAGGAAGTTCAGCACGGAAA